TGTATTCTGTCTTGCACGTTCTAATTTTATTGACCAGAAATACTAGAGCATAATTTAAATAACTTTCAGCATTAAATTATCTTTCACAGATTTAAGAGCTGGTAACTTACTAGATAAAACATTTTAAAATATTTTCTATCAGTATTATTTTATCTTAGAAATAATCAAGGTAATCTGTCTATGTTCTTTAATTGGGGTAATGAATGAAATTAATGCTAAGTATGCAACAATACTAGTCTAAAGACTAAGGTGTGCCTGATCCAGTTCATGGTTTTCACAATTACTTGCTCTGCATCAGAAAGCTAGGCAATGGCTATGTATAATAGAAGAATGCATGCCTTTGAGTTGTGTTGCTGGGGAAGAGTATTAAATAGACTGCTAGGAGAGCAAACGGGTATGGTCTGGAGGGGGTGATACCAGGATCCTCCTTGGAGGTGAGGATACTGAAGCTTTGTCTGACATACTTTGGGCGTGTAGCAAGGAGGTACCAGTTCCTGGAGAGGGTACATAGGTACATAGGGTGCCTGTGAATAATAGCTTTCAGATAACACAAAGAAAAGAACAGCATGTAGGAATGAGATATGTAAATTTTTATAGACTTGAAAGAATTCATCTCATTTATAGTTACAGCATCCTTTTTGAAAGACAGGTGGTAGTTATTCATTTAATTTACTCAAAGAGAAATTTACTATTTCTTATCTCATTGCTGTCAAGAGAGAACTGATGCATAGCTGCCCTTCCAGCAGGTTTTCAGAATTTGGGAGATGATTGCCTAGCCAAACTATAGATTTTTAGGCATATTGAAATATTTTCACAAATACGCCCCTAGGATTATCCTACCCCTCCATCCATCCTCAATTCTCTGCCCCTACCCTACTCCCCTTAGATCCTCATGCATGTTTTACTAGAAATCTATTTCTACAATAATGGTCTTATATAGTATTTGTCCTTATGGGATTGAATTAGTTCATTTACCATAGTGCTCTCCAGTTCCTCCCAAGTTAGGTAGTGATCTACAAAATCATTGCTCCTGCGTGCTGCACAGTATTCCATTGTGTTAATGTACCATATTTCTCAAACCATTCCACTGTGGCTGGACATTTGGGTTGTTTCCATGTTCTTGAGATGGTGAATAATTCTGCTGTGAACAATTTGATAGATTGAGGGAGGGTGAGTTAAGGAAATGGAAAAGACCTTATGTGGAAAACAATATATACAAACTTTGCAAGTAAACCAGTATAAAATTTTAAAAATATTAAAAATATTTTCACATAGTATACATTAAATAAACATGGAGTGAGATAACTCAAGGTTAAATGAAAAAGTACATTTTTATTTAAGAAGAACAAATAAATTATAAAAATGATCATTGATATTATTCACTATTGAGTCATAGCTGACACACCAGCAGGTTTTCAGAGGCAGTAAATCACATGGGAGAAGATTACCCATCTTTCTCCTACAGAGCAGCTGGTGGATGTGAAGTATGTACCTTTGCTTTGGCAAAGTATATTTCCAAATACAAAATAAGCTAAGCTTGATTTGCTATCAATTCAATGGATATATTAAGTCATATTACCAAAGAGAAATGAGACTTCAGATAAAGTGGTGATCCATTCAGTTGTCTTTTTTTGCACTTGAACCTTTGTATCACTGAAGTATCCACTGGTAATTTCAAAAGTATAGAATACATTGTTATTTAAAACTGAAAGAAAAAAGAAAGAAATGGTAAGTGAGTAAATGATACTTCTCTTTCTAAAATGAGTAGTTTCATCAGAGTTCAGTAGAATATTATGGCAACACTCAACCACTTACTTATAATTTAGCAAATCATGATTGTAAAGACAGGCCATAGAACAGGTGCTGTTTTCCATTTCAGTTTAGTTAACTCTATGTTGAATCTATGTACAACAAAATAGTGCCATGCTCTATGCTATCTTTATGGTAGCTGACAAGTTTTTAGTCCATTCTTGCTCTGTGTAGTGCCTTTTGAACTAGAGGACTCATCTTCAAGCACAATATTGGGATACATTCTTTTTTGATCTGTAAGGTTTTCATGGCAAAGAAAACTTGCATTGGGAAAATCAGCTGTCAGGACCTCTCCTGAGTACTAAAAAGCAACGACGTCAGTCTAGAGACTAAGGTGCGCCTAATACAGGCCATGGTCTTTTCCATTACTTGTTATGCTTCAGAGAGTTGGACAATGACTAAGGATGACGGAGGAAGAATTGTTCCCTTCAGATTGTGGTATAAAGAATAATCTTGAACATACCATGGACTGCCAAGAAAACAAATAAGTCTGTCTTGGAGAGGGTGAAACCAAGTTTCTTCCTGGAGGCTAGGATTTTTAAGCTCGATCTCACACACTTTGGCCACATTGCCAGGAGAGACTGGTGCTTGGAAAAGAACTTCATGCTTATAAAGGTGAAGAGACAGCTCAGGAGAGGAAGACCCTGGATAAGTAACTGGGGCAGTGGGTTTGTTGTACGAATCAGTGAGATTGACTCAGGACAGGGCAGGGTTCAGAGCTGCTGTACCTAGGATCACTATGGGTTGTAAGCGACTCAACGGTATATAACAACAACAAGGTTATAATTGACTAACTTATTGTATTAAATCATCCACCTATTCTTCTAAGTCTGCCTTAGTCTGGAAAATCTGTTAAAAATCTATCCTTTCTGTTAAAATCATGGGTGATTATGATGACATTTTATCATCATGGTGATATCCAAGCCACCACAGTACAACAATGTGCTAGAGCAAAGATGAATCCCTTTAAGTCACACAGAAATTTAATTACATTTCAAATAATTCAAGCTATATCAATGTTCAGCAACTAACTGGTAGATCTAAAATATTTTCTCAATTTAAGGTTTTACATTTTTAAGTAAATCTGAGATTTTTATTTCACTGGAATTTCTCACTGGTATGGATGAATTCACAAAAATATAATGCATTAACATTATAACACCATGCACTAACATGACCTAGGCTGGCTCCTCCTTTTAGAAGGAGGCTTCTGTTCTAATACACTAGGGTATCAGAGAAATGTTTGCTCCTGACACATTGCTCTGCTATTCTTCCTTCTTTGACTATTGTAGTTTCAGGAGTTGGAATGTGAGCTTGAAGTAAAGGTCAACAGCCGTAGTGTGCTAAGGGTGTTAGAGCTCAGAGAGAGGTGGTAGGTGTGCACACACCTTCAGGGGACTTTGGGAGGATGGTTGTACCAGGGGAAAAGCAGAAATCCCCACTTACCTCTTCCCTTTGCAATCTCTTATCACCAGGGACCCTTCACAGATCCCACCAGCACACCACCATCCTATCCATAACCAACTCTGACATGATCTTCTAGTCAGTGTTAAAGGAAGATTTCTGGGACCTGTATGCCCAGGAAGTTGGGACTGGTGAACCCACTTCTGCTCTGATTCTGGATGGGAGACCCAGAACATACTACTGTCTCCCTCAACCATTGATATCTGAGTGCTCGCTGAGTGCCATTCTCTAGAGACCCAAGAATGATGGCTGACATAACATTAAAGATATCTTTAAAGTGCTGAGAGGGGAAATTTAGCAAAGTTTCAAATCTAGCAAAAGCATAAGGGTAAAATAAAGATGTTTATGCATATCATGTTCTGTTGTTGCTGTTGTTTTTGTTGTTATGTGCCATCAAGTTGCTTGCTACTTATAGTGACCCTATGTACAACAGCCCTAAACCCTGCTTTATCCTGTACCAATTGCTCTGTCTCTGATACACACATCCCGATTACCCCAGTCACTGAATCAATCCACCTCATAGAGGGTCTTCCCCACCTGTGCTGTGACTTCCAAGGAGATGGATTGAGACAGTGGCTGAAGCAATGGGTTCAAGTGTGTCAGAGATGGTGAGGACGGCACTGGACAGGACAGGCTTCAGCGCTGTTGTTCATAGCATCATTATGAGTCAAACTTGACTTCGTGACACTTAACAACAACAAAAACAACAACAACTATGGAAATATAGATGACTGGTAATTAAGACATCACATTTTGAAAGTCTGTGTTCAAATTCGGACTCTTATTTGATGTGTAACATAAGTTACATACCGAATAACACTAAATTTTCTATGAATAATATGGAGTTAATTATATTATACTTCACAGGACTGCTGGGAAAATTAGTTCCTGATTTGTAGTAAGCGTTCAGCGTACATTAATTTATCATTGTCATCCCTCAACTATCATTATGAGTTGTGGCACATGAAACTGTCAACAGAGATGTATCAAATTATTACGCAAAGTTATTTTCATATGTTTTTAGGAGAAAAGTTAGCTATGGGTGAAGAGTTAATTGAAAAAGAGATGTTTATTGATTATATAAAGTGATACTTTTAGAGTCAAAGGTTAGGCTTCTATCTCAGCCACATGTTAAAATTACTTTCTCATTGCTCCTGTAACTTATTAGAATACATTTTGCTTTGTTACTGAAAATAGCACATGCTTGGCATCTCGCACTGTTGAAGGGCAGAAGTCCAAAATAAGTCTTCAGGAGCCAAAATCAAGGTGGCGGCAGAACTGATTGCTTCTGGAGGCTTTAGGAAATAGGCTATATCCTTTTTCCCCAACTTATACAAGCCACCTGCATTTCTTGGATTCTTCTCTTCCTCTGAACCAATAGTTTGTCATCTCTTTCATAAGACCTTCTTTTTTTTTTACCACATTAGGACCTACCTATGACCACCCCCCTCATATCAGAGTGCTTAATCTCATCTACAAAGTGTCATTTTCCATATAAGATCATTTTTAAAGTCCCAGAGATTTAAGATGTGGTAATTTCTGGGGCCCACAATTAGCCTATAGTACATGGAAAATGTGCAAGAAAGCAAAATAAGAAATAAGAAGGGAAGAAATGATAAGACCTAGTTTGTTGAAAATTCCTTTGCAAAACTGTACAAGTGTTTGTTCAAGGAGAAACTAATCTGAAGCAAAAATAAATATACAAAATAAAATCTCATTATTTTTAGGTGTTTTAAATGTTTATCTACGTTTGAAAGGACAGACAAAAATAGAAAATCCATTGTGGTCTTCAAGTGGGAATAAAGGACAACGATGGAATGAGGCCCATGTTAATATATATCCAATTACTTCATTTCAGGTAAGGAAAACCAGTAATTTCTCCTGATACAGTTTTCTAATGAGAATGGTGATCAAAGTTGACCTTCAGCAAACATTAATATATGAACATTTCATATTCTCGTGATATGAGAAAAAAACAGACATTGCCTAATTTCAACATTTTCTCTTTAGTTCTAAAAGCTATAATGAAAAATGCCAATTTTCTTTATTAAGATCTAGAAGATAAAAAATTTGCCTACTCTTTATAAAAATTCTATAAAGTCTTTATAAAGATTCAGACAATTCATCTGAAAAAAATATCTACCTATATAAGGTCATTCTTATGTGTTTGGTTCATTGAAATCAAATAAACTAGATTCTTATAAAAATAAAAGCTAGATAAAGAATTCCCAAGTAATATATTAGGATTGTGTAAGATTTTATATATATCTTGCAAAATTTATTTGAGTAACTTTTTATCAATTTATCAGAGTTGATTGTCAAAGTCATAGAACTTTAAACAATGTTATTTTACCTTGTTTCATGTAGGAATGAAACATGACTTTGAATCTAAGAGAGATCTCTATAAAAATACAATAGAGATTTCAGAAACTCTAACAAGGGCCATCATTGTTTTTTTAAAAAAAATAACTCAGGAAATTAATTATTTACTAATGCTTTTTAATTATTTTTTAAAAATCGTAGAACTGTATATGTATGTCTCAGAAGAAAGATGGTCTATCTCTTCCTGTGCTATTCACTGCCTCTGAAAATCCACTGGAGGGTCAGCTATGCTTTGGTTCTGTCTCACTGCACAGTACATATCAACAACAACATATATGGATACACCCAATTATTTTATCCATGTTATAAATAAGTGATTATCTAGAAAATCTATTTTAAGTATTATGCTCCATTCTTATATTCCTTGATTATTTTTTTTTCTGAAAACAGAACAATAAAATTTATTTATAACAAAATTTTCTGGAAAACCTCAACAGTGCTTCAGAGATTTGTGAGACAATAACAAAAGATTGAACATGTCTACTTGATATTAAGAGTTTCTCTCTTGAATTGTCTAAAAGCGATTATATGATTATGTTGTATTATCATGACAAGAGTCCAAAATGAAGGCTGAATAGTGGAGTGCACCTGGGGGGAGGGACTGTATAACAAGGAATTTTTCTTTTACTTTTCAAAGAGAAGAGTGAATTAGGAAGGAGAGGTGGGCCAGGAGAAAAATGCAACAATGAGTGAATGGAAATCCAAAGTCTCTGTAAATGTTCATTAAAATTAATTTAAAAAACAAAACAAAACAGTGCTTCTCTCATAAAGTTGTGAAGTTAAATGATATAGGTAAAGTGGTTAGGAAGGTACCTGGCATATAGGTAGTGCCTGAGTATTCATTATTATCTTTGTATTATATGGGAGAGCTTGTTTGGAAAGAGACATTTTGAAATTTCTTTTAGAAGAAATGACCTTTCTTGCTATCCTGGACTTCTCACAGGTGTTCACTGTAATTTGTTTCCCCTCCACACTTCATCCTTGATTATTTTGAAAGAAGTCAAATCCAGTTCATGAAATTGTATTACTGTTTTCTCTTTTGGTAAACTAGTGAATGCCATTCACGGCATATAATTTTAAGAGGATACAAAACAACATATTCCAATTATGCCAGTTAGTAGTTGGTAAAATGTCATTTTATTTTACTCTAATGTGTACAATTCTAGCACCTCAATAACATAAAGAGAAGGGAAGACATTTAAGAAAAGCTATCGTATTAAGTGATGCTAAACTATGAGAGAGTTTGGGATTGGGAAGCAAAGAAAGCACTAACATTATTATTATTCTTAGAGTGCTCAAAGTGAACAAAGACATGGAAATCATTTACACAAGATTTGCCAAAGAACTGAAAAGGTTTATTTACAATTTGATCACTGAAAATAAATAAATACATCAAAGACTGAAAAACAGTAAGCCTAAAAAACTGGAAGAGCAGAGGTTTTAGCCTTACTCATACAAATATATTATTGTTGTTGTTGTTGCTATGTGCCATCAAGTTGCTTATGACTCATAGAGACCCTATGTACAAGATTGTGCCCAAAACTCTACTCTATCCAGTGCCAATCTCAATTTCTCTGACACACCTACTACCCTTACCTCAAACACTGAATTGATCCATTTCATCAAGGATCTTCCTCTCTTGCACTGTCCCTCCACCCTCCCATGCATGATGTCCCTCTCCAAGGGTTGACTGGTCCCTCCTTGCAACATACCCAAAGTGTCAGACGAAGCTTCGGAATCCTTGCCTCCAACGAGCAGCCCGGCTTCACCCTCTCCAAGACGAACCTGTTTGTTCTCCTAGCAGACCATGATATATTCAACACTCTCCTCCAGCACCACCGCTCAAAGTCAGCAATTCTCTTTCTATCATTCCTAGTCACGTAAATTAATTAAGCACTGCATTTAGGAGTTAATACAGCCGGCAAAGAGATGGACTGACATGGTGACTGCAACAGTGATTTAGGCACTGGCGAGATTCTGAAGAGGACATTGAATCAACCAGCATTTCTTTCTATTGAACACAAGATTGCTAGTAAGAGAACAACACAGCTAACATTCATAATGCTGATATGAAGTAATCAAACACACAAAAATGGCTCACTGCATTATTGTATTACTATAAAGTTCTAGAAAAGAAAAATAACTATTGATAAAATTTAAGAACTATACTACCAAGTCAGCAGTGAGTGATTTTAATCTGCGACCCTCAGGCCAGGTTTCACTTGTTTTGGGTCAAACATTCTTCTAAGTTGTATAGCAGTGGTCTGTCCACTTGCTGTACAGAGGTAACTCGTGGTGGCTGTGATGCTAAACACTGTGACACTAATATGTCAAATGAGATAATGGTTACCCATGGTGGACACTGTTTGGTGGAGCTCCCCTATTAAAACAAGACTGGAAGCAGGAGTGACATCCACTTCTGAAATATCTTGCCTCCCAAAGCTCTATGAATGTGGAGAAATGATGAAAGTTATACAAGTATTCAGGTCTTTCATTCATAGGGTCGCTATGAGTCGTCTATGGCTTGATGGCACTTAAGAACAACAACAACAACAACAACATATGTTTAGTCAATGGAGAGTCAAGGAAAGGATTTAGTCAAGGATAACTTGATACTTTTTTCAGGTTATATTATGGAACAATGGCAAGCATATATTACTGTATATTATGGAACTACAACAAGAATGTAAAATTGCAATCCAGTTAAGACAACATTGTAAACCAATAAAAGATATCCAAGAGACAAACTAGAGAAGTGATAATGAAGAGAGTGATTTGAAGAATGCTTCAGTGTAAAAAATAGCTGAATATTTTAATGTTTAGAATCTGGGATACAGAAGAAGTACTCCTGAATTATTAAAAAGTTTCAATCTTGAAATATGCTTATTACCCAAAGAAACAAAGGAAAACAGATATGTATCAGGGAATTTACATGGTAAATTTCTTTTTAAGCATGTTAATTAATAGAAGATGTTCAGAGAACAGTTGCATAATGTCAAGTTTTGGGAATAAATGTTGGGGAATAATTAAACTGTATATATATTACATAAAACTATGACCAAGGTTGACATATGTTATAAGGAAAAACACACAGATATGAACAGTGATTTCAAAGGTTGGAACCATGCAGTGATACTAACCAATCTAAAGATGAAAAAGTAGCTGAATCCTAATTTTTAAAGTTAAAAGAAATCTCAAAATGTTTCTCTATAGAATTCAAAGAAGATAGTGGAAATAAAATTAAAAAGCAATTTGAGTCCATTTGATTTCGTTATTAGGATGTACTTAGTAAGCTTTAGTAAAGCATCAGCAGACTCTGGTGGTCTCGTGGACAAGGAATTGCACTGCTATCCCAAACACAAGCAATTTGAATTCACCAGATGCTATGCTGGAGGGAGACGAGCAATCTCCTCTAGTATGATGTACAGCATCTGTGACATTCACTGAAGGATCAGCTAGGAGTTGGTTTCTACTTAGTCAGCCTTGCAGAGGATTTTACCTTTCAGGTCATCTGAAGCTGCTGCTCTGGCTTTTTAGTGAAAGAGAACTTGGGGTGGGGAGGCTGTGCTTACCTTTCAAAAGTTCTACTCCAATTGGAGATGAGCAGGCTAGGTTTTATTTTCCATTACTCTAGAAACAGCGAAGCCAACTTTCTCCTAGGAAATTGGGTTCTTACAGCCTGAATCTCATTTGCTGCCTCACCTCTTTTGTATAATCTATGAGTTTTACCTGCTTTTGCTTGGTTGCATTTGTTTCCTTCCTGACTGGTTGAATTCTGCGACCTTTCACTTTTACCTGGTGTGCTACAGTTGGGTCATGCTAATTACAATCTATGTCTGTGAATCGTGTGCATGTTTGTTAACTGACGCCTGTCCAAGCCCTGTTCTATGACTTTCTGTACCTTTCTACTTGTTCTTGAAATCTGACCTGAATAGGAATATGTGGAACATCTGTGGGGATTTGAACTAAATTTGTACATAGAGTAGCAGATTTTACTGGTGCTATGGTATGAAGAATGGGTCCCCTGTGAGCATTATTTAAGACTTTTATGACAATAAGAAAAAAAAGTAGTAGTTTCTGTTTACTAATAGAATAGAGACTACATTTCATAAGTGATAGATAGTTTCCACTCTTATTTTCTATGGATAATGTGGTAGAAACGGAAAGTTCAACATCATAATGGAAATTTATAATTGTTCAGAATTTGCATAATGAACATCGGGCATTGAGATATTTTAATATGATTTGTTGAAATGGTTCCTTTTCAACTATTATTTTTCACATTATTATTTTTATTATTTGTACAAGTTTAAAGTTTATTTTGTTTTTGTTTGCAAGGTAATGAACACTGAATTCAGGGATTTACAAATGAGAAAGTCCTGAAATGAATGTCATCCCCTGAATAGGAGGAATAAGGGAAATGTGTGTGTGTGTGTGTGTGTGTGTGTGTGTGTGTGTGTGTCTCCCCACCCCAAA